AGAGAGAGAGAGAGAGAGAGAGAGAGAGAGAGAAAGATATGACAGAAGGAAGCAGCTCTTTTCTCCGTATTTGCATGAAAATGGTGTTGGCGGCTCAGAGGGGGAAACGGTGCACAAAATTTGAGAGTAACACGTACCAAAGACAGTTCTGGCGGGCACGGATTCCTTATTTATCCAGAAAGACACCTGAGAAAGGATTACAGTCATGATGCAGGGGATGTACGTCTGAATCATGAAGTAGCCCATTTTCCGTTTCAAGTGGAAGTAGACCGTCATTACCACATATTCACCTGAAAGAGCAGAGAAAGAGAAACAGGAAGTGTCTTATTAGCCCGAAAGCGGACACACAAAGGAACAAGGTCAGAATGACAGTCTGTCACAACGGCAGACTTATTTTGGCTGAACAGCAAAGTTTTCTGGCTGTTAAGCTGCGCTGGCAGATTCATCTTATTTTAACAGAATGAGGCTCACAGCCGTATTGGGAAACAGTGCTCCAGTAATCAAAACACACACTGAATGCTCCAGATCTCTTATGTAATTTTGATCAAAAAGACGTAATAAATAAACAAATGCCATTGTTTTTTTCCCCCTTCTGTTTAACCGAGTGCTCTAAAAAACCAAGCCGATCTGCAAGCATTCACGCTGACCTTTACGTTTAAGCTGACATTAGGCCTTGTGGCATGAGTATAAAGGTTTTTCTTTTAATCTAGCTTGCATCGCTATCAGATATTCTCCATATGCATTGATCAGGTGACTCGGACACGGACCAGGTGTCTCTGAACACGTGCACACTGATAAAATGGACTTAACTGTAACGTAGCCTAAAGAGCCTGTCGGTTTGTGGTATTTGTAACATGCAGGACAAACTATTAAGACATAAAATCTGTAGTAGCTTGATGTTTAAAATGTAATTCTTCCTTTAGAGTAAGCAGTTTAAACAAAACTAGATTTGCATTCCCAGAAAGAAACGGCAGTTCTTGAGTTTTAGGTAAGTTTAGGTTTTCTGTGTCAATTAAATACTATGTTGTTTCACATATAAACACTGTTAAAGGGATAGTTCACACAAAAATGAAAATTCTGAGAGAGAGAGAGAGAGAGAGAGAGAGAGAGAGAGAAAGATATGACAGAAGGAAGCAGCTCTTTTCTCCGTATTTGCATGAAAATGGTGTTGGCGGCTCAGAGGGGGAAACGGTGCACAAAATTTGAGAGTAACACGTACCAAAGACAGTTCTGGCGGGCACGGATTCCTTATTTATCCAGAAAGACACCTGAGAAAGGATTACAGTCATGATGCAGGGGATGTACGTCTGAATCATGAAGTAGCCCATTTTCCGTTTCAAGTGGAAGTAGACCGTCATTACCACATATTCACCTGAAAGAGCAGAGAAAGAGAAACAGGAAGTGTCTTATTAGCCCGAAAGCGGACACACAAAGGAACAAGGTCAGAATGACAGTCTGTCACAACGGCAGACTTATTTTGGCTGAACAGCAAAGTTTTCTGGCTGTTAAGCTGCGCTGGCAGATTCATCTTATTTTAACAGAATGAGGCTCACAGCCGTATTGGGAAACAGTGCTCCAGTAATCAAAACACACACTGAATGCTCCAGATCTCTTATGTAATTTTGATCAAAAAGACGTAATAAATAAACAAATGCCATTGTTTTTTTCCCCCTTCTGTTTAACCGAGTGCTCTAAAAAACCAAGCCGATCTGCAAGCATTCACGCTGACCTTTACGTTTAAGCTGACATTAGGCCTTGTGGCATGAGTATAAAGGTTTTTCTTTTAATCTAGCTTGCATCGCTATCAGATATTCTCCATATGCATTGATCAGGTGACTCGGACACGGACCAGGTGTCTCTGAACACGTGCACACTGATAAAATGGACTTAACTGTAACGTAGCCTAAAGAGCCTGTCGGTTTGTGGTATTTGTAACATGCAGGACAAACTATTAAGACATAAAATCTGTGGTAGCTTGATGTTTAAAATGTAATTCTTCCTTTAGAGTAAGCAGTTTAAACAAAACTAGATTTGCACTCCCAGAAAGAAACGGCAGTTCTTGAGTTTTAGGTAAGTTTAGGTTTTCTGTGTCAATTAAATACTATGTTGTTTCACATATAAACACTGTTAAAGGGATAGTTCACACAAAAATGAAAATTCTGTTATTAATTACTCCCCCTCATGTCATTCCAAACCCGTAAGACCTTCGTTCTTCTTCGGAACACAAATTAAGATATTTTTGATTCAATCTGAGAGCTTTAGACCCTGCATAGACAGCAACACAACTGAAATGTTCCTAGGCCCAAAAATGCAGTATAGGGACACTGTTAAAATAGTCCATGTGACATCAGTGATTCAACTGTAATTTTACGAAGCTACCAGGGGCGGCGCCAGAGAATTTTGAACGCAGATGCTGAGGGGGTGCTAGATCATTGACAGGGGGAGCTGGGCAATTAAAAGTAAATATAACCAAAATAGGTTATTATTATTTTTTATATTAATAATAAAATAAATATAAGGAAAATTCGCCCACTCCATTTTGTAATATTCTCTAATTAGCCTATGTAGTCCATATGAAATGGTGCATTTTTGGGCACATCCATGTGGAGATGGCGAGTCAGTGTGGACATTCGGCAACTTCATCTTTGCAGCCGACACTGACTCAGAAAGCACTAGTTTATTAATAAATAATTAAAATGTCTTTCTTTTCCCCCAACACATTCATAATCAATTTGCTGGTGCTTTGAGGCAATTGCTTTATGCGCGGCCTGCCTATATATTAAATGATGGTTTAGTATATTATTACATTAATCAATTTAATATTACATGCGACTAGTTGACTAGAAAAATCTTCAGTCGGGGGCAGGCCTACTTAGTACAAGTAAGCGCTCCATTTTTAAAATAAAATGCTATAATGACATTATGAAATGTGCGACAGCCGCAAATCACATAGTTGTTGCTTTGCACGAGTTATGCATGCAAAGAGTCAGGGATGTTCATATTAACCGTTTAAAAACTAGATTTGCACTCCCAGAAAGAAACGGCAGTTCTTGAGTTTTAGGTAAGTTTAGGTTTTCTGTGTCAATTAAATACTATGTTGTTTCACATATAAACACTGTTAAAGGGATAGTTCACACAAAAATGAAAATTCTGTTATTAATTACTCCCCCTCATGTCATTCCAAACCCGTAAGACCTTCGTTCTTCTTCGGAACACAAATTAAGATATTTTTGATTAAATCTGAGAGCTTTAGACCCTGCATAGACAGCAACACAACTGAAATGTTCCTAGGCCCAAAAATGCAGTATAGGGACACTGTTAAAATAGTCCATGTGACATCAGTGATTCAACTGTAATTTTACGAAGCTACCAGGGGCGGCGCCAGAGAATTTTGAACGCAGATGCTGAGGGGGTGCTAGATCATTGACAGGGGGAGCTGGGCAATTAAAAGTAAATATAACCAAAATAGGTTATTATTATTTTTTATATTAATAATAAAATAAATATAAGGAAAATTCGCCCACTCCATTTTGTAATATTCTCTAATTAGCCTATGTAGTCCATATGAAATGGTGCATTTTTGGGCACATCCATGTGGAGATGGCGAGTCAGTGTGGACATTCGGCAACTTCATCTTTGCAGCCGACACTGACTCAGAAAGCACTAGTTTATTAATAAATAATTAAAATGTCTTTCTTTTCCCCCAACACATTCATAATCAATTTGCTGGTGCTTTGAGGCAATTGCTTTATGCGCGGCCTGCCTATATATTAAATGATGGTTTAGTATATTATTACATTAATCAATTTAATATTACATGCGACTAGTTGACTAGAAAAATCTTCAGTCGGGGGCAGGCCTACTTAGTACAAGTAAGCGCTCCATTTTTAAAATAAAATGCTATAATGACATTATGAAATGTGCGACAGCCGCAAATCACATAGTTGTTGCTTTGCACGAGTTATGCATGCAAAGAGTCAGGGATGTTCATATTAACCGTTTAACCGTTAACCGAAAGTAAAAAAAAAGACAGAATAAAACTATCAATTTAAACGGTTTAAAAGTTTTTTTTTTTAATAGTATTATATACTTAAATATAGTACCCCCAAGTATTTCAAGTAAGTTTGCTGCATGGTGAAAGAAAAGTATGCTATACATATTTGTTTACCCACGGGGAAAAATCAACCCAGGGCATCAGTTTAATAAAAATAGCCCGATTCCGTGGGAAAAAATGCGCACTTTGCAACCCTGCATCCAACACAAGCTTGACTCATCACGGGTCGAGAGTAGGATAGATGACTGACAGACCGTGCTGGAGTATTTGCTGCTCAGCAGATCCTGAACTCACTGAAAAATATCTGATTTTGTAAGATTAGATGTGCTCCTTTACACAGAGTGTGTGAACGCGAAATCGAAAGTGAAAGTGAACAGCGAGCACGCATTCAAAAGCGATTTCAATACCCGCATATTGATAGAGCGAAAATTATAAACAATATAAGAATGTTTGCGGGAGCGGCCACAAAAACCGCGGGAGCGGGTGGTAATGGTCAGAAATTCAGCTGGAGCGGCATTATGAAACAGTTCTGCGGAGAGCTCTATACTTGACTATCCGCACATTTTATTTTTTAATAAAAACTAGACACATTGTGCACTGAGGTAGGCCTGCTATTTATTTTTGTCTGACGAAAAAAAGACTCTGCCGGTTCTTTAAGGTGCATTGAAGGATTCAGTGTGTTTTTGTTTTGTCATGAATTAATGTTAATTATTTAATTGAAAAATATTTAGTGTAGGCCTATCTATTTTATTATTTTTATTTGTTATTTTATTCTGTTTTTCTCTGTTTTCAGAAGCACTGCAGGTGCATGATAATTTGACGATGTGTGAATCCAGGTTCTGTTGTTGCTCTGTTGTTCTGTATGCTGCTGTTTGCATTTTAAAATAAACCTGTGGTTTACTTATTTATTTATTTTTAATGGGTCACAGACCCACATCCATTCTATTTTTATTTAATACTAATTTATTATTCTAACTTTATCAGTTAATGGTTAATGTTCGGATAACAATTAACGGTTGTCGGTCAGGAAAATTAACCGAAATGAACATCCCTAGTCAAATGTTTTTTTTTTATCAGCTTATTTGTAAAATACAATAGGCTACAGCCTGTATATAATTGATTCCAGGAAAAAAATCTGTGGGGGTGCTATGGGGGTGCTTTTGTCTTTCTTGGGGGTGCTGAAGCACCTGCTAGCCCCTCCCTAGCGCCGCCCATGGAAGCTACGCATGCGTCGTGGTACTCTTGATAATGGCAGAGGACAATGACGCGGAGGAGATGAATTGTTGAATAAAAATGTTATTTTTGTTTTCTTTGCGCACAAAAAGTATTCTCGTAGCTTCATAAAATGATGGTTAAACCACTGATGTCACATGGACTATTTTACCGATGTCTTTCCTACCTTTCTGGGCCTGGGAACATTTCAGTTACATGCTGTCTATGCAGAGTCAGAAAGCTCTTGCATTTCATCAAAAATATCTTAATTTGTGTTCAGAAGATGAATGAGGGTCTTACGGGTTTGGAACGACATGAGGGTGAGTAATTAATGCCACGATTTTCATTTTTGGGTGAACTATCTGTTTAAGACTAAAGGCCCATTCACACCAAGGACAATAACTATAAAGACAATGTATAGTTCTAAAATCGTTCTCAATATTAAAGAATAGCAGTCCACACCACAACTATAACGATAAATGCACAGAGAAACGATATAGTTGGAATCACTTTCAGAACGATTTTTTTTCCAGTCAGAATCCATCCTGCTATCACGAGCTCGAGAATTTAAAGCGGCAGACGAACCTGTGCTTAGAATAAACAGACGATATCATCTGCTGGTGTGGACACTAATATTGTTATCTTTATAGTTATCTTTATAGCTGTGAACGGGGCTTAACACTGTGTTCTAACCAGGCGCAACATGGTAAGACATTTTGTTGTATTGAAAATGCTGTATATTGTGACATAATAACAACCAGTCAGAACTTTTTATTATTATTATTTTTAAAATATGGTTTATGGAGAGCAGGATTTTAGACTAGTGATTTACCATTGGATGGCCCACATACATAGAAACCAAGCAATTGACAAAATGTCCTGTCATGATCAGGGCTGGTTTTGACATGTTCCTATAAATGGTTGAAAATAAAAAAAAAAAAAAAAAAAACCCTGACCAATCACAATTCTAATATGAAAATAGATATAAGATATTTTTTTAAATATATTAAATGAGCTATATAGTTTGGGCTGAATTAATCACAGAAATTTAACATGTACTGTAGAGTTAGAGGTTTAGACCAAATCCCAACCACAGTTTTTGAGGAATATTAAATCACTGCAAGCACTACACTACTGGTCAATAGTTTGGGGTTCAATAGTTAGGATGCATTAAATTGATCAAAATTGGCAGTAAAGATATATACAATGGAAGATTGTTGAACCTTACTCTTAATCAAAGAATTCTGAAACAATGCTTCCACAAAAATATGAAGCAGCACAACTGTTTCAACTCTTAATAATAAGAAATGTTTCTTAACCAGTAAATCAGCATATTAGAATGATTTATAAAGGATCATGTGACACTGAAGACTGGAGTAATAATGCTGAAAATTCAGCTTTTCATCACAGGAATAAATCACAGTTTAAAATATATTCAAATAGAAAACAATTATTTTAAATTGTAATAATATTTTACAATATTACTGTTTTTACTATATTTTTGAGCAAATAAATGCAGCCTTGGAAAGCATAAGAGGCTTCTTTCCAAAACATAGAAAATCGTACAGACCCCAAACATGTGAACAGTCGTATACTGTATATTTCAAGATATTTGCAGCAAAAATGTTGGTGTCACTGTTATGTGTTATGTGTCTGTACCTGTGATGGACTTTACAGTCTCACTCGACACAGTCTGTCCGATCAGGTCGTACTGTACCAGGCTGGACGACTCAGGTGGGACCTCCACAGAATGCTGCGGGCCTTTAGTCCAGGTGTAGATCATCTCAGTCTTTGGGTAGGCATCTGACACAAAAAACAGAGCCATCATAACAACACCTTCCATGACATATATATATATATATATATATATATTCTATAGAATATATGTGTGCATAACACTGACAGTCAGACCATATCTGTGGCATTGTGTGTATCCCAGTGGAAATGAAAAAGACTAATGAGATTAAACAGAGAGTAAATGGACACTTCTGCTGCAGTCTCCTGATGCTCATATTTTCCTCCAGAGAAAAAAAGCCTTAGGTAAAATGGAAACAAATGAGGCAATAGCTGGCATATTGCTGGAAACTAGAGATCAGAGGAAAATATTTGTTTGCATTGAGATTTATGATTGCAGATTTTGATAGCTTTAGCAAATCTGAGCACAGTTTGAGACATCGGTGAGATTGTATATTTACATGTGAGATTAGAATTTCATTTCATTTTTACACTGCAAACATTTTTAGTCTAACTCAGTATTTTGTCTTTTTTCAGAACAAATATCTAAGCATTCTTAAATGACAATGCATTTACAATTAAGATAGTTTATGCTTAAAACAAGAACAATTATCTGCCATTGGGGTAAGAAATTCCCTTATTGACAGATTTTTGTCTTGTTTTAAGCATAAATCTTCTTCATTTTGATGCATTTTTTCAGAAAACAAGACTTAATGTCTTGAAGAATGTTTAGATATTTGTACTAAAAACAAGACAAAATATTGAGGAAGAAATAAATAAAATATAAAAAAGGTCCCATTTGTGATTTTTCTTTCCAAGAACTGATGCAATTTGGCAATCAGACGACCGAAGTCCAACATTTATGATCTAATTATACTTCTTCCATGCCAACAACTGTCCCGATTTTTCTATTTGTATTTCACCAAAGGAAATAAAGGAGTTAATACTTCAATTAAACATATCTGAGAACTTCATTATGTCGCCTGAGCGACGAAAGAGCAATCTTTTAGCAATAAATCTTCCTCTGGGTATGCCTACGCATGGAACTGTGCGTATTAGTCCGCGAGCTCAGGGTCGAACGGTCGCCGCTAAGACACTGATCTTTCCTCACTGCTGCCCACTTCCTCCACTGTGCGTGCCAATCTCAGTTCCGAGCCAAGCAGAACAATCATCCTGACACAGAAATCAGATCTGCTGAGATGTTCTCCTGCTTGGAATCAGACAGATTTAATTTATGTAGGAGAAATCCATACATCAAACGGCTCACGCTCTCGGAGTAGAGACTGACTGCACATCCAGGAGTCCGTCGGCACGTTCCCTGCGCTCCTGTCCTCCTTTGAGATCGTCATCATCATCTTCTCTATCTTCCTTAATTCTCTTTTTTTCTCTCCTCCTCGCCGTCTCTTTCTCCATTTCTGTTTCTGAACCCCCACACACTGGGAAATAGAGCAGAGGAAGGGCTTCCAAGACACTCACCAACAACCCCATGAAAATAGAAAGAGAGTGCGCAAGAGAGAAGAGAGAGGGGACAGAGAGACTAAGCTAGTTTTGATCCAAAGTCACGCTGGGCATGACAGAATCTTTCGAGGGGAATTGAATGAACCCATGCGGGAGAGAGAGACGGATCAGTAAAACATGAGTATAATTACAAACTCTTTTCTGATGACTCAAACTTGTCTGCACAAAACTTTCTGTCACGATGCTTATGTTTGGTTTCTAGCTGCCAGGCCATTGCTAAGTGGTTTCCAGGGTTAACTAAAATGAAGCCATTTTCATTACTTGGAATAAAATAAACATTAACTGAAAAAACAAATAAACAAAAAAACGTTTATTTCAGCTAGCTGCCAAGGCAACAATTCTCTTTCATGTTTAGTTTAACTTAAAGTACCAAAATAACTAAAACATAACCCAATAAATCAAAATGAATAAAAACTGTATAAAAAAGCTAATGAAAATTAAGAAAAAAAACAACAACAAAATTTCATATAAAATATAAAATTAAGCTTAAAAATATAATAGTACTTTATCAATGTTAATAAAATAATACTGGTGGTTTCTAAAATGCCCAGAAAGATTTTGCAGGCAAAATCCAGTCATTTCAAAAGGAATGTATGCAATCAGGAGTTTTGTGGGGGTTTTTTTCCTAATAAAAAGTGTGATTGTAATTTAAAATTTTTAAGGCTTGTTGTGCTTTGCAGGATTGTGGAATTTATTCAAAAAATGTTGTAATTGTATTTCAATATGACAATAAATAATAACAATTTACTGTACAGTATACCAAAATAACTAAAACATAACCCAATAAATCAAAATGAATAAAAACTGTATAAAAAAGCTAATGAAAATTAAGAAAAAAAACAACAACAAAATTTAATATAAAATATAAAATTAAGCTTAAAAATATAATAGTACTTTATCAATGTTAATAAAATAATACTGGTGGTTTCTAAAATGCCCAGAAAGATTTTGCAGGCAAAATCCAGTCATTTCAAAAGGAATGTATGCAATCAGGAGTTTTGTGGGTTTTTTTTTCCTAATAAAAAATGTGATTGTAATTTAAAATTTTTAAGGCTTGTTGTGCTTTGCAGGATTGTGCAATTTATTCAAAAAATGTTGTAATTGTATTTCAATATGACAATAAATAATAACAATTTACTGTAAAGTATATATGAATAATATCCTTATTATTCAGTTTATTATTATATTTGATTACTAAATTAAAACATTAAACAAAATAAATAGGGCCTATTACTATTGTAATATTTGATTGTAAAATAATAAATTGAGTACTAAACAACAACAACAACAATAATAATAATAATAATAATAAATATTTTTATTACAACCGTAAAATAACAATACCAATATTTATGGCTGCCTTAATCTCTTCATTTTCAAATATTAAACCAATGAGTTTTTATTGTGGTGGAAAGTAAGTATGCAGAAGAAAGGAAGTAAGGAAGTGCAGTAAACAGCAAAACTATTTACGCTACAAACCAGTGTGTTTATAATTGTGACAACACATTAAACTAGTATGATAAAGACCAGTTTGCAATATCAAGCAGCGTAACAAGGTGTTTTGTAAGGCTAAAAATAACTGGAAGTGGATGACACAGAAAGCCTTGCACATTAAAGTTACAAACAGCTGCACCACTCTTCCATTAAAAATAAGGTGGATAAGCGGTTCTTATTACAAATTTAGGAAGATGGATGGCATATAGTTGCGTTCATAAATGTAGATTATAAGCATTCAAGTGGTTTCAACATTTACCGCGAACTGCAACACTGAAAACACCTGAATATAAGCTGCGCGTGTAATTGAACACAGTGCCGCGCTTCACCCTGAAACACGCAACACAATATTTATTTAATTAAATCGCAGCCTCTGTGATTAGATAATCATTCTGCACTTTTATTTCAATTAATTGTGCAGCCTTACAGTGCAGAATGAACTACACATTAAGATTTAGTATCGTTCAAATCACTAAGCCCCTGAGTGATTGTGACCCAAGCAAACATCACTAATACATGAATACAGAAGAAAGAAAATGGCATGACATGAGAGAGGAGCAGAAAACTGTAAAGAGTGCAAAGGAAAGAGCGTAAAATAAAAACGAGATCTGTTATAGGTCTGCGCTGTCCCGGGGCAGGAGGGAAAGCTGTGCTGACCTTCTCGGCTCTACAGGGGACAAACAGCTCTCTGTCTAGATGCTTCCCCTCCGGCCCAGAGAAAGGACAGGAAGATGTATAAGACAAAGAAGAGAGAACGAGATATCCATCAGCACATTAGCGCAGCCACCACTAAAAAACCAAAACATTGAGATCGTCCTCCATCACAATGTCACAATGCGCCAGCAGGAGCTCTCTGGACTGATTTTATCTCCAGATCTTCCAGCAGTCTCCATAAAAGAGCCCTACCCACCTGCCACATATTCCCATTTGAGATTACGCCTTCTTTTCAGATTTCTTTTTCTGTTCCTGAACTTTTTTTCACGTTTTCGTTTTCATTTTTGCTGACCGACTGTCGTGAACAGTCCTGCTGATATAGAGATTCTTTGTTCAGTTTTTAGAAAATGAACCAACTCTGTATTTACACACTCGGAGGAAAAAGTAATTTCTCCTTGTGGAGAAGAGCTGTTTTTGAAACCTCTAAGGTATTTACTCTTAAATTAAACTTGTAGCTTATATACGGTGTATATATTTATATATGTATTTTTTCTCTCCCAAAGAAAAGAATGAACGTCATGAGTTTACATTTGCTTAGCCGACTATGAAAAAGTAATTCTAGATGAAGAACTATTCAGTGTTTAAACTAGCAGCCAGGGCAACAATATTGTGTTATGTTGAAATTATTTTTTGTACCATAAATTCTCAAAGATCCTATGTTAAGAATGCAATACTAGCCTACTGCTTACTGCTTACTGCGTACTACGCACTGTACATTGAATACTGCCTGCTATTTAAATTTAAATAAATACAACAATTTGTTTATTTGTTAAATATTTCAAAAATTATTTTTAACTTGTAACATTACTTGAATTGTCAAGTTGAGCGCATTGCATTATGGGATGCAATATCCCATGCAGTATGGCAAATAAACAATTTAGCTATTCCACATATAAAATGTATATACCACTTACTGTATACACTACCGTTCAAAAGTTTGGGGTTGGTAAAAAATTTATACATTTATTCAGACACATTCAATTGGCCAAAAGTGACAGTAAAGATATTTATAATGTTTCAAATAAATGCTGCTCTTTTGAACTCTTTTCAAAATTGCTAATAATAAAAAATTTTTTCTTGTGAAGAAAATCAGCATATTAAAAATGATTTCTGAAGGATCATGTGACACTGAAGAATGGAGTAATGATGCTGAAAATTCAGCTTTGCATCACAGCAATAAATTATATTCTAAAATATATTCAAATACAAAACAGTTATTTTAAATTATAATAATAATTGCCGTATTACTGTATTTGGTCAAATAAATGCAGCCTTGGTGAGCATAAGAGACTTCCTTCAAATGCATAAAACATCTCAAGGATTCAGTAGTGTATATACTATGCAGCAGAAATAGTATGTACAGTGTGCTGTTCTGAATATAGCCATGTTTTGACAAACACAGTCTCAGTTTAGAATAGCATACCACCCTTACTATTTCTGCAATATAAAGACATGTCAGAAACGGTAAGTGTATTATGGTAGTATGTTATTCTGAATCAGCCACCTTTCCAATGTGTGTTTTGTGTGTGTTATAAGCTGAAGCAACATTTGCATTTGATTGGACAAAAACAAATACAATGAAATTCAAACAAGTCATTAACAGTTTTGGCATTTTTCTGCTACAGAAAGCCTCTTGAATTTTAAATTTGTATGCTAGAAGTGAATTTTGTCAGCTTTTAGGAGCATACTAGCGTATAGATGAACTGCAATTCTGTATTTGTAGGGTCTCTACACACAAAAGAAACCCTTAAATAATCAATTCTGTTTCTCGTTTGAATTGTTTAGTCAGCTGACAGTGAAGAGAGAGAAAAATAAATTTTTAAAGAAGGGATTATTTCTGTGCTCTTCAAGAAACGCTTCATAAATAATGTTCTTCTCCTCACTCCAGACACGTTTCTTTACTCTGAAATACTGGCTCAAATCATGCTTTAGTGTTCTGTGGGATGAAAAAATCAACATATATAAAGTGTAATCCTCACAGCTGCCGAACTTTAGCGGGCAGGAGTGGCCATCCATGGGGAAATTGACGAGTCTCATTGGACATTCTGCAATTATTGTCAACCTGTCAAAAAAAAACAAAAAAAAAAACACACACAGATAAAATGGTTAAAATATCGAGGATGTCATGTCTACCAATGCCTTCAAAGTACTTTACACCAAGTAAGACATGTTCCTGGATCAACATCCATTTCTATCAACCAGCTAGTATTGTAGTGTTAGCCTTAGGGCGGCGTTTGAGGCTTCAACAACATTCATATCAACCTGCCATTTTCCACTGAACACAAATGCTGTTGCAGGACCAACAAAACATGATCCAGGAACACATCCTACTTGGCAAAACGACGGTCACCCACGAGCAAACATAGTCTGCCAAAGTCCTTTCAGCATAAATTGGACTCAGGACTGGACGGATGCGTGCTGTACCTCATAGTGTACAGGATGGTGCCGTTCTTCATGATTCGGAAGAGTCTGTTGGGTGCCGTCATGTTGTGAGCCACAGATCTTTTGCCGTTCCTGAAGAACGTGTCGGGGGTCCAGACTTTGGTCACCATCAGGTTATTTAGCCGGAGGATCTCCACCGGGCCGTCATACTTCAACCGCCTATCCACCCACGTCTGGCGGAAGAACACGTCCATGGTGTACTCCTGGAAAAAAACACAGACATAGAGCAGTCAAAACTGCACGCAAATCAATCTGACTTACTCCTGACAGAATGCTTCATTAGAGTGGTTCAGTAAAAAGCAACTTCTCAATAAAAAAAATAAATAAAATCCACCATAATCTTGCAAAAACACTGTCTACACACTTAAACAAACACTTCCCCTCACGCTGACAAATTGTGCTCCTGCCAAATTCCCCTGTAACCCTTAAAAACAACATAACATCAAAACCTTACTTTTTAATCTTGATATTAACTCAAGGATTTCTCATCAAATTCTTCCAAGAAAGAAATTTCTTGTAAAAAAATCCTCTGTAACCCTTAACTCCTTAAAAAACAACATAAATGAACCCTATTTACTTGAAAAAATGTATTAAACTGTGCAGATTCATCAAAAAACCAAAGTATGCATCTCATGAACTCTAGCATTTTCAATCAAATTCCTCCAAAAAGAATTTCCTTGTAGACAAATCCCCTGTAACTCTTAAAACATAATCAATAAAACAAAATCAAAATGAAGTATGCTTACTTTTTAAAGACATCCTTGTATTACCTTGTAAAAAATTCCCCTGTAACTCTTAAAAACATTGTAAAATCTTTTTTTTTCTATTTACTTTTTAAAGAAATGTCCATTATAGTAACCTACACCATTAATCAGTTGATTTTATTCTGCTAAATAACATTTATTTTCATAATCTTGCAGCAAAGATCAAACTTTCTACACATCTGAAACAACTTTTTCTTTTCTTCTAATGTAATCAAGGTTGTGTGGGCAGGGAAAAATAACAGTAACCAACAATATTTTTGTGTTTTTTCAAGAGCCAATAAAATATATAAATAGCTGTAAATATATATATATATATGTAATATATAATATATATGTAAATATATATATATGTATATATTTTTTTTTTTTTTCTAAGTTGTAAATAAAACAAAGATTGCAGGGGTACGTTTTACAAGAAAATACCATTTCAATTTTTCTACTTCAAAACTTCACATTTAATTAAATGTTTTACTTGCCGTTTCTTTGTATTTATGAGTTAAAAGTGTTTCTACACTTTTTTTAGTTTACTGCAGAAAACCAGCTGAATATTCAATATCACGCCTGGAAATGGAAACATTACGGAAGTTGAATGCATTAAGAATGCCATTTTTTGATTATTTTTATCACAGCCTGTACCAATCTGAGCTAAACACTGTACGTTTGGTCACACTTAGTGCTGTTGTGCTCTTGTGCGAGGTGCTGAACCTCATATTGTTCTCAGGGGTACATACCTACTGAAATTGTTGACTCATCACAATTTTTATTTATTTTTTTATTTCTACTTGATTCACTCTGACTAAGCAGACAACTGCACCTTGAATTGATCTAAATGGCAAGCTGGCTGAATTATTTATTTTAATCGTATCTCAGCGGACGGATATGCCACCTTATATAACAGCTGCTCGTGCACACATACATGTACACACACAAATCCAACGTGTTCACACATAATCATAAACATTTCAGATCGCTCACCATCTCTACGTCGGAAACTGGGCCAAAACTTGTGACGTAAATATCGGTCTTCACTTCCGTCACTGGACCTGGTCAGACACAGGAATCAGAATCACATTAAACCCCTTATGACTAGAAAGTAGAAATAGATCTGAAATAAATGCACAGAACTGATGTGATCTATGAATGTGACTCAAACCAGGTATTACAAATGAAATAAATGGATTAACACAGGATTGCTTTTGCTTTTTTTTTCAAAGTCAAAATGAATCCACGTTCTCGACTCATTCGACTTCCATATAAAAAACAACCTATATTGGCCAGGACTTGATTTGAACAATCAGGAATTTATCTGATGGTGTAAAGTGCGTTTCATGTCAGAATGGAATCAGAGCTAAACGTGAGTCGCAGTGGAGTGGAAAATTTGTAATTATTTGCTAATATTGTGTAACCTTTATGACAATATTACGCAGTGTTAGAGAACTACTATTAAGATTTTAGAAAGGCTGCATTACCTACAGTATTAAAGTAGTCTAAAACAACACATAAACAGCTATTTGGCTGTTGGTTAAAATCAAAGGAATAGTTCACCCAAAAATGAAAATTTGTTGAAAATTCACCTTCAGGCCACCCAAGATGTAGATACGTTTGTTTCTTCAGAACAGACTTGGAAAAATGTAGCATTACATCACTTGCTCACAAATGGATCCTCTGCTGTGAATGGGTGCCATCAGAATAAGAGTCCAAACAGCTGATAAAAACATCAGAGTAATCATTATCACATGTAATATCACTGTTGTATCACTGTTTACAAAATTGTAAACAGTGCTTGGTCTGTGCATATTTCTCTTCAGATTCAGACAAGATGACTTTTATCACTGGATGAAGCTATTTTATGGATAGAGGACTCGTATTTTAGCCACAAGCAACAGTTTGAAGTGAAAAACATTGTAATGATGGGTTTGTTTCCTACAAACATGCAGCTTTTCACCTGATAGACTCGTCGTGTATATTACTTGTGGATTATTGCTATGTTTTTATTAGCTGTTTGGACTCTCATTCTGATGGCACCCATTCACTGCAAAAGATCAATTGGTGAGCAAGCGATATAATGCTAAATTTCTCCAAATGTGTTCTGATGAAGACACAAACTCATCTACATCTTGGATGTGATGTCAGCCAAAAGGAAAGGCAGATTATTCAGATTTTTTTCTTAAAAACATACGCTGTCAAATACTGCACAATATGAACATGATTGTGTATTAGGAAAGGAAATGGGCACAGGTTGGATTTTTACTTTTCTCTGACTGAAGCCATTTATCATTTATTTATCTACTTTTACACAATTCTTGTGGAGAGAAAAATGAAAAAAATAAATGAACAAATAAAGACCAAAAGTGTCACCGAAAACAGACTCAGGCACTCAAAGCTCTAAATCACATGATTAATCACTGAACCGTCTCATTGGTTGAACTTGTGAAGGTTGAACTCTTAATGTTCTAGAGGCTCTCTGATAGATGCTTGACTAAATCACTTGAGAGAGAAGTGCCTTCAGTCAAACACAAGAAAATGGATTATCTGTCATTAAACAGACACTATGAGCATCTCTCACAGTTGACAACCATGAATCCTACAGAAATATGAAAGACAGGAACAATCTCACAAACTCAGTCCACTGCACACAACAATCAAAAAAGAGATCTTAATATCTCAAATCTTGCTTCTATACAAATAAGATTAAACTGAGAGTAAATGGAGGATTCTCAGGTCTCCTGTTTTCAGATGCATCTCCTTTAGAGATACAAAAGATATTTCAACAGTGCCTCAAACTGCACAGATTTGCCAAAAGACCACAGTGTGCAATCAAAAGTCAAAGGTCTCAATATGAAGCTGCTGTTCACATTCACTTTATAGCTCTATACGCTTACTGCATGACAATTATCTAATTTGTTTCTATTGTTATTTATTTAGATTTAGATTTGTAATTAAAAATAACAGAGAACTTCACTCAGTCTCTCAAGCTATAAAAGAGCAACCACTGAGCAATTTTTATTTTCTCAAAAATTTAATTCCAAAGCATGCATTATTTCTTCAGTGAAACAGAAGGAACATTTTCACACAGCTTTTTTTTTTCAATATAACAACAGTTCATGCAGTTTAAGTTGTAAATATAAACAAAAATGATTAGAGTACATTTTACAAGAAAATACTATTTCAGTCTTTCTACGTCAAAATTTCACATTTGAGTCAGTGTTACTTGCTGTTTCTTTGTAGTTATTTGCAAAAATTACTAGCAATTCCTGAAAATTGTGAGAAACATTTGTGAGAAAATGGTTTCAAAGTAAATCCTACTCCATTATTTCAGTAGTGTCATTAGTCAAGCTCTAGAAAGTACCAAAAAACCCTTTTAAGTATCATAAAATGACTCATGCTCTATGTTCCAAGCCATCTGAAGCCATAATGCAGCTTGTATGAGAAACAGAAACTCAAAATTTAGCTTGTTATTTACAAGAAAAAAAAATCTCTTGAGCCACTGATTTCAGAAGACTTACAGTGGACAATTCGTATGGACTACTTTTATGGTGCTTTTTTGTCACATGCACCCTTAATCAAATTTGCTATTTTTATGTTCCACAGAAATAACAGGTTCGAAACAAAATTAGAGTGAATTTTCATTTTTGGGTGAACAATTTATGGAGATAGAATTGTTGCTTAATTCCAAATAAATAGATTATGATCCACAAATAAATGTAAAGAGATTAACAAAACTTAAACATATTGACAAATAAATAGAATGTCTTGAATTTTGTGATCATTCGAAGTGTATTTTAATAAACTGAATCATAGTGAAAGAAAGCACTGTAAATGCGCACGCACTAGTCTAACCTACTACACTTCATCACGTACTGCTTCTCTAGCATTTTCAAAGGCACGTAACATAAAATACTGTGGCTTGGTTGGCATTATACACAGTCTAATGGTCTAACGAAATCCAATTTTAAACATCTTTTACTGTACCCATTTTATGGCCCTTATATTACCTATTTGAGCCAATGCAGATGAATGAAGTTATCTCAGAACGAGACCGCCCTGACGTGATTGGCTATAGCGAGATCATGCTACGATTGGTCAGCGAAATGTGGCTGTTATCTGATTGGCTTGAGTAGACGGTGGGTGGAGTTCACGTATTTGTGGATTGCCAGCACGTCTTGACGCAAGAAATGTTTCACAATTCGCAAATGCACAGGATGCGATTCACAAATGCGTGCAGCTATCTACAAATGCACAGGACGCATTCACA